TTCTAACCAAGAAAATTATGATGGTCAAATCAGGGCTGTGACTTTTTGCTTTGTTTTCAAGAGGCCAGTCCTATCTGGACAAGTTCCACACCTTCAGATCCCAGAAGTGCACTGAGGGCTGGTGGTTAAAATTCTTACACGTTCATTAGCACTGAGCATAACCCATCCCCAGAGTTTGTACATTCTGACCAGACCAAACCTGCTTTGCTCTGTTCAGGCACGGAGAAGGATTTCACCTTTAGTTCCTCCTCACCATACCTCAATTCCCCACTGGAATGTGGAGATAGTGACAACAGCAGCCTCAGGGGTGTGGTGTGTGAGCTGCATGGGCAGAGGTGGCAGCTCAAAGGTAGGGAAGCTGGTAAGCTCAGAGGTGGGGAACCTGCAGCTCAAAGGTGGGGAACCTGCAGCTCAAAGGTAGGGAAGCTGCAGCTCAAAGGTAGGGAAGCTGGTAAGCTCAAAGGTAGGGAAGCTGCCCTGGCAGGGTGGGTGAGGCAGTGGAGGAGGAGGCTGGGCACCCTCCTTTACCTCGGGGTGCACACAGGGACAGCAGCCAGCACAGAGCCGTTTCACAGCAGCTTTTTGGGCAGGACCTGATTTCTCAGCTCACACACAGTCAGGCAAGGTCACAGACAACAGTTCAGAGCATTCTGTTCGGGGGTGCACTGAAGTGACCAATGGCATGAGGCCACACACTGAATGCTGAGAATGAAATAAAAGCTGAAGTAGCCACTCATCCAGGGACCATCACCTCATTTTGCAATCCTTGATATTTGCCATGCTTCCAGTATACTGCGTGACCTTAGAGCAGATATGTAGTGGTGTATTAATATCACAACACATGAAAAAGAAGGCTCAATGAGGATGACATAACCCATCTTTATTTTTTTTTTTGTTACTGTATTTTTTGAAATTTTTATGGTTTTCAGCACAGTCTTTTACAGAAGCTAACTGCCAAAGCTCTATTTCAGTATACTTAGAGATTAACCTAGTACCAGTCATGTGACTACGTATCTGTTTTGCCTCTTCAACCAAAAAATTTACCTTAATGAACAATGAGGAGACTGTGGATCTGCTCAAAGTGAGAAATAGTAATTTAATTATTTTTTTCAACTGCAGAGTCTGCCTCTTTTTTTAATTAAAAAAAATCAAACCTAAAGCCCCTAATATTTTCTGGCAATGAGTTAATCTTGCTGTGTTGTAGTTATTGGGGCAGATATTTTCTAGCTTCGTTATTTAAATTTCCTTACAATGAGAGCTATAATAGACAAAAATAATGTCTGTAAATTATAGCTTAAAATTACTTCTACTTTGAGTATGAATAGGGATCTAAAGGCTTTGTACAGAAAGTCTAATTTTTTTGTCTGCAGCTAGATATGCATCTCTCCCTTTTTGTGCTTGCAGACAGAGCATTGCAGCCAGAACCTGTCAAACTATGCAGCAAGATATGTAGCATCTCAGATCAGGGCCTGGACCCTGGGGAGGGCACCTGTAAACTGAAAAGACACCTGTAAAGTTTTCAGTGGTAGTTAATGAAGCTGTATGCCCCTTGTGACAGAGTTTAATATTTTCACCACTCAGCCTGGCAGTCACAGCATTCTTAGAAGTAACTGTTGATATAGGAGACATGAGGGACTTTATAAATAGGTCAGTGGAACAAGCAGCAAGCTCTCTTTCCTTCTTTTATCTTCCTCACCACCCTGCAAAATCTGAGAACATCAGTTATGGGAATGAAAATACAGTTCTTAAAGAAGCACCAAGGAAAAAGATATCATTACTTATTCAGGGTCTCACCCAGTAAACTTTCTGCTATTTTTTTTTCTGATTTTATAATTGGAAACATTATTTTTGGAAACTATCAATGATTGTGAAAATGTAAATAGAACAAATGTTAATAGTGTTGCTGTAACCTGTATATCTTTAGAAATCAGGCGGTTGCAAAGATTACACACCAAAAGACACTAAATAGTGGGGGAAATGTAGTGGAGTTACTACATTATATCAGAGCATTCAGAGGGAATAGCTGTTTCCCAGGTTACACATAAAGTATGATTCATTTTATGGAATGATTCTATAACTGAACAAGTCAATATAAAATCTATACAGGACTTAAAGGATTTATTTTCTCCCACTCTTAACCAATCCTTTTATCAATACAGGACCTCTGTTTTAAAGGTTTTGTATGAACAGGGAAAGAGAGTTGCCATGGAATTTACTTTGAGGTAAATAATTGTGTCCTCTGCAAGAACTGGAAATTCCCAGGCTGTGGGTAGTTCAGATGTGATCCTATGAGTCTGCCTGTGTAATCTTGAATAAAGGCACTTCTGTCCAACCATTTACTGATCTAAACTAGTTCACATCTGTGAGATGATTCAGTCAAACAAGGACCATGCAATGGCTCTAGAGTGGAATGGGACATGTTAAAATGTGAATTGAATTCCTCTTGCTGGTTGTGCATCTCTGCTGTGGGTATATTTCCTGAACATGTTTTGAGACTCTAATGCAGAGAAGGGCTTGCTAGATGCAGTGGTGCAATAGGATATTTTCTGGATTGAAATACGCTTTGTTTCTACCCCCTCTGTAAAAGACAGGGATAACCTAGGGCAGTGGCTTTGGCCCTTCATATTCTGAACATTGTTCATGTCACTTTGGTGTGTAATGATCAAATACTTCAAACATTCCCAATCATACCTAAATTTTCCATTGAAGGGATTTGTAACGTGCTTTGAAGGCTGAACAAGTTGAGTAAAGCGAGTGTAAACTGTTAATTAATAAAGTCTCTTAAAAATCTCTGTTTTTCTTAGTGTCTGAGGAGGTGATACATTCACATTAATTAACATTATGTTTATGTGCAGTTGATTCACGTGATGTAAAAGTTGAAGGTCATGAATTTATTTGGTTTATTACTATTATTTCCAATGTGTTGCTTAATCTGCAATGAGGCAGGATGGATTTTCTATTAACTCATGCCAGTACTGGTTCCCTGAGTACGTTCTGAATTGGCAGCAGGGCTCCTGTCTCCTGCTTGGGCATAAGTCCTAAGGATGCCCAATGATAATTGATAATTCATATCTATAGACAAACATTTTGAAGTCTTTGACTTACAGAGGAACTCTTCATAATCTTTGCAAACATTGCATGCTCCCCATTGGAAGAAGATTACCATGATAAAGTGTAAGAAAACTTCTGTAAACCAGGGAACAACAATCAGATAACTTGATAACAGCCTAGCAGTGAATTTAACCAGAGAATACTTGTAAGATGTGATCTGACAAGATAACAACTAGATAACCACTGGGGAAGCACGGATGTAGGTCACCAGCCATGCATTCAGCATTATAGTCAGGAGGACAACCGATCCTCTGTAGAGGAGGGTCTGAAGTGGCAGGGGGTGTAAGTGTTATCTTCATTCACATTCTTGCTGATAGTTCAGGCATGAGTAGAAACTCTGAGAAGCAAATGTGGTGGTTAGCTGTGATATGTTGGTGTAGAAGATTGAGGAAAAAATAAAGGGGAAAGAGGATGAACAACAAAACGTTATGTAGTGCTTTAAGTACATCGTAAGTGTACTTTAACAACTATCCTTACTAAGAAAAAGCATTTAAGGAAGAGAGATAATAGCCAAAAATCTTGAAATTATTCAAGTACTGCAGGTTGCAGACACTGAGTCACAGATGACAGGGAAGGATGTTACAGTCAGAAGTACGCAGCACTTGGGAATGTGGTTTTACTGGTGGGTTTGGCAGTGCTGGGCCAGCAGCCGGGCTCGCTGATCTCTGAGCTCTTTTCTAATACAGATCATTCTGTGATCCTGCGGCATTGGCGTTCCTGCCGAGTCTCCCCTCAAAGGTTACTGAGGGCACCGCCAGGGGGCGCGCGCGGCCAGCGCCGCTCCCGCCCGAGGGCAGGGCGGGGCCTGAGAGCGCCGGGGGCGGGGCCGAGTGTGCCGGGGCCTGAGAGCGCTTCGGGGGCGGGGCCTGAGAGCGCGTCGGGGGTGGGGCCCGAATGTGCCGGGGGCGGGGCCCGAGTGTGCCGGGGGCGGGGCCTGAGCGCGCCGGAGGCGGGGCATGAGAGCGCCGGGGGCGGGGCCCGAGTGTGGCGGGGGCCGAACGTCCCGGGGGCGGGGCGGCTCCGCTGCGCCTGCGCGCGGTGCCCCCGGAAAGGCGGCCACGTCTGCCGGAAGCGTTTGGGCTGAGGCGCCCGGCCCGGCCCGGCACGGCCGTGGTTCCGCGCTGACCGCCGGCCCCTCACGGCTCCCCCCTGGTCGGGGCTCTCGGCGCTGACCGCCGGCCCCTCACGGCGTCCCCCGCGCTGATCGCCGACCCCTCACGACTCCCCCCGGGCCGGGGCTCCCCTGCCCTGACTGCCGGCCCCTCACGGCTCCCCCCGGGCCGGGGCTCCCCGCGCTTGCAGGAGGTGAGGCCGGGCCCTGCTGAGGCCCCCGCCGCTCCTGCGTGGGGCCGGGCCTGGGGAGGGCAGGCGGTGCTGGGCGTGGGGGCAGCGGCCGCTCTGAACGTCCCCTCCCGGAGTTGGGGGGAGGCGCACGCCCCCGCTGCGGTGTCGCCGGCCCGGGGTGCAGGTGGTGAAGGCACCTGTCCGCCGTGTTGGTGTCACAGAGAGGCAGAGGCTGCAGAGTTTGTGGGGGAGGAGATCCTGGCCTGAGCTAGCTTGGGAATTTGCAGGCCAAATATCTAAGTCATACTTGTTTGCTCTGTGATACTCTGTAGCAACTGAAGATACAAGAAACTGATGCAGTGGTCTGCTTTTAATAACCTTCATTTAAAGACCTAGGTTTTGTCTGTTTTCCTCTGAAACTGGTTTGGTTTATTTCCATTAGTTACCAGAACAGCAAAATACCAAATAAGCAGAAGAAAAGTATTATAATAACTACAGCACTAATAGCTCAACACACCAGTTGTTTAGATAAACAGTACATCTCGCCTCAGCAGCAGCAATCTGATTTGTAATCCTTCTGTCTTTTGCAGTATATGGTCCTGAAATTTTAATTGTACAGAGGTCATCGACAGACACTCATCATGTCTTGGCTCGCTGATCTCGCTGGAAAGGCAGAGGATCTGCTCAACAGAGTTGATCAAGGAGCTGCATCAGCTCTGAGCAAAAAAGACACCTCGAGCAGTGCAGTTTATGATAAGAAGAACTTGGACTCTGCCAATGAGTATTCTGAAGTGCACCAGCATACTGGAGAACTGAAATACCAGACCTCATCCAAAGCAGCCTACATCTCCTCAGCAGCTGAAAATATTAAACACCAAAAGGCCACAATCCTGGCAGGAACAGCAAATATTAAAACAGCACGTAGGACATCCTCAGAGGCAGCTTTTCCAGTAGAAAATGCTTCCACACCCAGAGCTGCCTCACATTTTGTGAGAAGAAAAAAGTCAGAACCTGATGACGAGTTGCTATTTGATTTTCTCAACAGTTCAGAGAAAGAACCTAATGGAAGGATAGACTCTAAAAAGGAGAAGAGCAAGGCACCTGTTCTTCAGAATCACTCTCGGACTTCAAGCATTAGTTCTGTGTCTACCAGTACACAGAGTGCAAAAACTACTGAGGATAATTCCAGCAGGAGCCAAGGCAATGGTAGTTAAATAGTATTGAACCTAGAGATATTTAAAACCCAAGTATGTCTGGGGTAAGGCTAGGTAACACATCAAACTTCATGAAACATTTAATGGTGATAATAATGTCAAATGGGTGAGGTACAGCAGGGCCTTTCAGGCTTTTTCATCACTGGGGCAATAGCAGATACTGTGCTAGTTTAACAGACAACATAATGAATACCTGAATGCTCTGTGCTCTGGATGTGCTTTGCTGCTGCTGCTGCTGCTCAGCCTGGCCCCTCTGAGCTGTGCTCTGGCCTTGCCCCAGCCCCACATGTCCCCACCTAGAAGCAGAGGTGCTGCTGCTTTTGTTTGGTCTCTCTTTTGTTTGGTAGCCGCTGTTGCCACGTGGGAGGGGAGTGGCTTTCCTACAGTGCAGCTCAGGGCGTGGGGTGAGCTGTTCCTGTTCCATGCAGGAGGGGTGAGCTGGCACACGTGCTTGTCCTGCAGGAAGCTGGATGCAGGCAGGCTGGTGGGGAGCCAGGGAGATAAAGCCTCTGGCTTTGCCAGCAGCAGATCATGGCTGCAGTCTGAATCCAGAGGCCTGAGTGAGCCTCAGGCCAGACAGAAGCTGGGGCTGGGCTCAAGTCAACACACAAAGGACAGCGTGGTTGGGAAGTGTCAAGAACTTCTGTCCTCTACCAGACTGTCCAGGCTGTAGTTGCTGTGCTACTTTGCTGGTATTTATTTTAGAAAATTGAAACAACTGGTTCTGTTATTTATAATGTAGTTAGAATACTTTATTATTTGTTTAGTACTTTAAACATGTAAAATGTTGTAAACGCCAGTTTTTTATCTACTACATTAAGTATGCTGAGAAGCTTTAGACATAAAAAGGGATAATTCCCAAACATATGAATATTTTTCTGAGTCCATGACTTTTCAGTAAGGTTTACTACTAAAAATAAATAATACAGATATGTTAGACCTGACTCTGCAGCCTTGCTGATTGGTGCTTAAGAAACATTTGTTTTCAGTGTGGCTTGTTGAATTTTCTTCTAAGGATTTTTGAGCAGACTTTGTGTTGTGGAGCTGCTAAATAAGGAAGAATGCAGTTACAATACAGGATTTGAACACACAGTTTTCCAAAGTTCATTGTACAGATATATCTGTGTCATTTCAATATTCAGCACAGAATGTGTTGAAGTAGCTTATGATGTATTAGCTATAGACAAAACCAGTTAGCATTGTACTTTGTATGTTGCCATGGGTATAATCTAATCTGTGCTATAAATGGCTCATTGCTTGGTTCATTAGCTTAATCTATTGACTTTTCCAGACAGAGAAATGAGCCTAAATTATTTTCTAAGTTGGAAACTGTAAGTAAATCAAAGGAAAGATAATGACATCTTTTAGGATCCCTTTAATTGGAAAAAGGCTTGAGAAAACGTGGAAGAATTCCTGTGTCACTGCTGCTACTTGTGGGTGTGGTGTTGCTCAGCATTAACAGTGTGTCCCCATTCCCTGGGCTTGGGGTGTTAGGGGCTGCTGCAGTGGTGAGAAAAGTGAAGCAGCTTGGTTAATGATCACAAGGGGGAGTAAATATTCAGCAGTAACATTTTGGATTGCCTGTTTGTTTGTTCCTTGCTTGCTGCGTCATTTTATCTTACATTGCTGCAAAGCTTCCAATTATCTGCGTGCTGGAGTCAGGACTCTGACAGGGGATTTGTAGCTTTCACAGCATTAATCCAAGATGTGTGTTTTGCATGTTGGGAAAAGGCTGTTGGTTCCTCCTTCCCTCCAGGGGCCTTGTTCAGAATATCACTAGGAGTTCCTTTATTGTTCTCTCTTTTGAAATAAAATTGGCATTGGCAAAATCTGAATGCAAACCAGAATGAGCTTGTACTAAAAATTCTTGCAGTTAGTTGCCATGTACATTTAGCATTTAGTGTTTTCTGTTACTCTTCAGCTTCTGAGGACTTCTCTGAGCAGCAAAGTCATAAATAGAGTGTTGATGTTTTGAAATCCTAAAGGTGCCATTTATCTAATAAGAAATTTTGTAACTTCTATTATGTTTTGTCTAGCAGTATTAACAAAAACATTGCATGATGCACGTAAATAGTCCTGTCTTGTGCAACCCCTTTTGAGAATTATCTCCATATTCCATTCCAGCATGAACTATTTTGATTTATTATCCTTGTTGTTCCTTAACCATTGATGCAGAACATGGAAGTACTGTTTATAGAAAGGTAGTTTACAAACACAGGCATTTGTTCTAAGTTGCATCTCCCTGTACAGAAACTCCAGACAGTTCAGACTCTGGCCTGGGAGCCCAAGGGAATGATGGCCTGAAGGATTCATCCCCAAGTGCAGCCACCAGCCCCAGCCCTTCAGCCAGTGATGATTCCAAATCCCATGAGCTGTCCAACCTTCGCCTGGAGAACCAGCTGCTGCGAAATGAGGTTCAGTCTTTAAATCAAGAAGTGGCTTCACTAATACAGAGGTCCAAAGAAACACAAGAAGGTACATCAGCTGTAACATTAGCAATGTGCCAGTGAGCTAGGAAACAATGCTCTATGTATTTATAATAAAAACTCTCCAGGTACCTTTGCATGTATGACTTTCCATGTAATGAGATGGGAGAAATTAAAAGACTTGTTCAACTACAAAGATACAACAAATGTTGATTAAAATGATGTGTTCAAGTTAGTTACAAAGCTTACTTCTCAATAAAACACTGGCAGGAAGTACCATGTTCAAAATACTTTTCCTGCATTTTAATGGCTTTTGCAAAATACTTATTTTTAAATGACCAAATTCCTTTGAATACTTCAAACTGACTACTTTCTGGCTGTAGTAGACTATATTCTCTGATGCTAGAAACTGACAGTAAAAATATAAAATTAATATTTTTAATATGACATCACTTGCTTCTTCAAAATCAAGTGAAATGAAAATATAAAAAATATGAGTGCAAATTAAATGATAAAACAGAGAGCAAACTCCTGCTGTTAGGCATAAAATTGAGGTACCACATTTTTTTCACAGTAACTGCATAAGCCAGATAATTTTTATATCCAGTTTAAGTTTAATGTGTGATGTTAGTTTAAGTGTAATGTGTGATGCTGTGTTTAAGTTCTTATATCCAGTTGAAGTTTAATGTGTGATGTTAGATTAAAAACAGAAGCTTCTAAGTATTCGGGCATTATTCACAACTGGTGTATTTTTCTGTTGTTTTTTATGTGGCAGTAAACTCAAACTGGAGTTAAACTAAATGCTTTATACAAACATTTCTCTTGGCACAGGGATATTTACCATTAGGCCGTTGCAGGGGATGGATCAGGTGAAATCCTGTCATCCACAGTATGACTCAGAAGGAAATGTCTGTTTTGAGATCACCTCCAAAATTTTCTGGGTTGTGTTTTGACAGCAAATCTGGCATTTGTTACTTCCCAGTAGCTTATACATTTTCAATTTTACTTCAACTTGGTCGTATTTAATTTTTTTCTTTAAGAAATGAGATAGTTGCATCCTGACTGCTTACAAGCCCTTGCAATATCTACTTTTGTAAACTTCAAAGAAACTTCTTATTTTGTAGAACTGAACAAATCCCGGGAGAAGGTGGAGAAGTGGAATGTTGACCATTCCAAGAGTGACAGGATGGTTAGAGAGCTTCAGGCTCGGGTGGATGATCTGACAGAAGCTGTTGGTGCCAAAGATTCCCAGCTGGCTGTGCTGAAAGTACGGCTGCAAGAAGCTGATCAGCTCCTGAGTGCTCGCACAGAAGCTTTAGAGGCACTGCAGAGTGAAAAATCACGGTACTTCTTCCTTTCATACTTTGGAATTCTGCAAATAGTAATAAGTTTGAAAAAAAATTAAGGTAGATAATTCACTGCCTTCAAGAATAAAAAATAATAAACTAACGAGGAAAGATTTGAAATACAAGGATTAAAGTTTGCACTGAAACTGCTCTATCATAGCTGGCAGTGGGAACAGGACAAATGAGTATTAAATAGGGCATATGTTGGCATCTGATTATTGGAATCCATTTTTTGTAAAGTATTTGTGTCAGAGGCATGAAGCTGAAGATCCCAAGAATTTTTTTTTCTTGAAAAATAGACTGGCTTATCCACAAATATACATACTTATCTCATTGCTGGGATATGGATACTCCAGAATATAGGCCAGGGAGGAGAAGTGTGAGTCATTAACTGTAGTCCAAATGCAGTAATCTACTGGGCAAATTTTCAAAGCTGGTCTGGAATCTAGGAGGTTATAGTTCTACACAAAAAATCACAATAGCTTGCTTCTTTTCCAATAAATGTGTGTCTCTATTTCAGGATAATACAAGACCACAGTGAAGGAAGCAGTTTACAAAATCAAGCCCTTCAGACTCTTCAGGAGAGGCTGCGTGATGCAGACTCTGCACTCAAGCGAGAGCAAGAAAGTTACAAACAAATGCAGGTTAGACATGAAGAGTCAGGAAGACTTCAGGATTCTCATTTTGAGATCAGATCCATGAAGTTCCATGTGCTCTCTCCTCCCTTTGACTCCAGTTCCTGTTCAGGGTACTAATTGCTTGGAAGGGTGTGCTGCTGTCTGCTGCACTAAATACCCTTGAGTTGCTAATTTATTTCTTATATGTTATTTTGAAAACTTCATGAGTAAAAGTTTTTGAGGATTAATGTTGACAATTTTTACTGGGTTTTTTTAATGCTAACTTTAATGTTAATACAATGCTTGAAATGTAAATTGGTAATCAGTTTAGTTTTCCGTGGTGTGTTGTTACACAATTTTACTGTGAGATCTTAAGATGAAGGACTTCTGTGGGAAAGATGCAACAACATTATCAATAATGTTTTCTATACTTAATTTGGCCTTTGCTACATATAATAGCATATCTGAAAATCTTTGAGAGTGTCTCTTTTGGTTTTTTTTACAGTACTTCAAAATATGTCATTCTAAAATTGATAATATTTTTTGAGGGGCAAGCTTGCTTTTTGTTTGCTAAATAAATTTGAATTACAGGAAGATTTTTATTCCCTCACTATTTGTGGCGAGGGAAAGAAAAGCATATTCTTATTTGGGTTATTTACCACTTGGTTAAGCAAGCAGAGCTTCTTCCCACGTAGCAGTCTTTAAGTTGGAGGTGGTAGGTAGGAGGTGGTGTGCTCTGTGTAGTTGCTTTTAAACTTTCTTTTTTCCTTCCTAGATGAAAGTTGAGGCTGTGTTAAACACAAACTATTGTTTCTTTATTACTCATAGAATGAGTTTGCGGCTCGTCTGAGTAAAGTGGAAGCAGAACGTCAGCACCTGGCAGAAGGGATAACTGCAGCAGAGAGGAAGTATTTAGATGAGAAGAGGCGAGCTGATGAGCTTCAGCAGCAAGTCAAAGTGACCAAAAGCCACCTGGAATCTGCAAAACAGGAGCTGACAGACTATAAACAGAAAGCTACTCGCATTCTCCAAGTAAGCACTGTTGTGAAGCAATACAGTGTGATCTGTGTGCTTTAACTGCTTTAAGGTGTTATGCTTCAAATAATCGTACCTGTGGTCTGTTTCTTCATGTGACCTGTAATGTGTAGAAGAGCTACCAGTCTGCCTTTTGTAAACTTAAGTTTATAGATGAGGTTATGGAATTGAAATGGTAGTTCAGGTCCTGAACCTGAAAAAAAATCCTAGGGAACCATTGTGCTTATTGTGCTTCATTTGTCAGTGTGTTCCACATCCAGGAGTCCAGATAGATGTAACTGCAGTAGGTGAAACCTACAATTTGTTCCATATCCAGTATTTTTGATTCAAGAGTGTTACTCTGTTCTGCCTGGGGTGGAAGCAAAGCATAGAATGGATACTTTACATGTAACCAGAGAGTATTTTTCCATGTCCTGAAAGGTTGCTTGTGATTAATGTGATATGAACAGTGGCTAAATCAGGTATTTTGTGCCAGTTTTGTACTATGTAAATTGTCAAAGATACCATGTCCAGATGTGGTTGGTTTGAGTCTTGTTTACAAATGTTAGCAACATGTTGAAGATAGAGATCTCTTCTTAGAATAGTTAATTTAGTCAAATGTTCAAGGACAGGTTTTAAATCATCTTGGTAAATATGAAAAGCCTAAAATCACAAGTCAATGTCAACGTAGCCCTAGACTGACTCTGGATAAAATTATTTATCCTCCTTCCTTGAAGAGTGACTGCTGTATTTGGTTCTTGATTTTGTTGGCAGGAGAAAAAGAGGGTCAATTTTGTCTATAGTGTTTGTTGGTGTGCATCTTGTCTGTTTCAGTGCCAAGAGGGCCAAAATTGTTATCCATGACAAGTTTAACATTCCAAGCACTTGTAAAGAAAAAGAAGTGCACTCTTTCACAGATAACACAGACTTTCAGTTAAATTAGTCTTATGGCATACAGAAAATCAGAAAAATTATCAATATGGAAGCATTTTCATTTTTAAGTGTGTAGGGTCATTACTGGATAAAAGAACAGATGAACCAGTCATTATAGCATATTGTAGTTGAGTACTTGTTCAATACTGCTATAAATAATGTATTGATTTATTTTTTCAGTCTAAGGAAAAGTTGATAAACAGCTTAAAAGAAGGCTCTGGTATTGAAGGCCTGGACAGCAATACAGCAAGCACGGTGGAGCTGGAGGAACTGAGACACGAGCGAGACACTCAGAGGGAAGAAATACAAAAACTGATGGGGCAAATACAACAGATGAGAGCAGAGCTGCAGGTAGCTGTGCCTGTGTACACCTGTATTTGCAGTTAGCTACAACAAAGGACTGTTCTCTTGTGTACTGTGGGTCTGTTGTTTCTGGTATTCATTACCTTACTTCTCTCTTCCCTGTGCTCCTTTTGAGGGAAGCATTTCTTTCCTAACAATCATAGTGATTTCTATAGCCACCACCTATATTCTTTTCTGCAAGAGCTGCTAATCCTTGAAGCCCTGTAATCCAAGTCATCCATGCCCATCTGCTGGCATAATGGGCTCAACACAGCAGCTGCATGCACGCCCATTTTACACAGTTTTAGCCTGTAGACAGCAGAAAGGAAGAAGCAGAGAACTTTTCATGTTCAAAAAATGTATTTATTTTATTACTGTGTTACTAAAAACATTGTGTATAAAATCACCAAATGTAATTTATCCAATACACCCACACCTTCTGTTTCCTTGAAGAAATATTGTACATACTACCTGTTTTTGCTGTTATCTATGACAGATTAGCAGTAACACCTGAATGTTAGTGAAATGGTTATATTTGTGTTCATTTCAGGACATGGAGACACAGCAGGTAAGCGAAGCTGAGTCAGTGAGAGAGCAGCTTCAAGACCTGCAAGAGCAAATATCAGCACAAAAAATGGCCAAGCAGGAGGCAGAAGCTGAACTGGAACGGCAGAAACAGGTAAGGAATTCTTGAAAGCCAGATCTCTCTTTAGGCCCTGTGTGGTGTCATCAGAAAATCATTTGGCTTAAGAAGAGAATATTTGGATACTGGGCAGTGTTTGATTTTTGTCTAGTGCTCCACTAGGTCAAGGAAAGTGCAGCCAAGATTAAGCAATGGTCAGGGCCTTCTGGATACTGCTGATGAACAGAGATCCTGGTGGATAAACAGGACCCCAAGGGAGGGCACAGAATTGAATTTTATTCAACAGGGAAACAATCAAACAACAGGGATGTAGTAACAAGTGTAACATTTTTTATATTAAAAAACCCTAATACTGAAAGTGGCTATTGTGAATCTTCCTGTGCTCAATTAATCCATAAGTTGGAACTTGCAAAACAATGTCATTGTAGAACCAATTTTAGCAGTAATTTTTGTTACTCAGTTCTGAATCTAATTGTCATTACTTCTAAACTGCTGTAGTAGACAAATTGCTGATAAAATTATGTTAATGAATTCTGTCAGATTGTGTCATCTTTTTGAGCAAATTCTGCCTTGATTTAAACAGTTTTGTGCTATAAAGAGAGTGGGGAAAAAAGACAAACTTGTATTTCATGTGAACAAACTTACTATGCAGTAGGAATTGGACAAATCCTTTGCATGTTAAAAATTTTCCTTATAAGAAAAAGCTCATGTAATGAGAATTGATAATGAAGAAAGCATGAGTCCTCTGTATCTGCTAGGAACTATTTATCTTAGAGGATTATCTATCCTTTCAGAAATTACATTTTAATGGGATACTTGCAGCTTGAACTAATTAAAAGGCAGAAGTCGAGGTCTGCTCTTGATGGGTAGCTGATGTTTATTATGTCAAAGCAGATGGTAGATTGTATTTTGTTACTCCTGCCTTCCGAGGAATATGCTTTAAGTCAATAGAAAGAGTGAGGTGAATTTAAAAAAACATCAGTTGTTGCAGAAATTGAAGTCTTCCTTTTGATGACACCCATTTACCTGTGCTTTTAACATAATTGCTTGTGTTGATACTTAATATAATTATGGTCAGTTCTGTCTGGGAGTTGCTTTAACTATTGCCATAAGGTTTCTGAAACCAAAGATGGAAAATAAGTAGAGGTGTTATTTTTTTGTGCATCTGATGGTTCAAAGGGTGAACAGGATTATCTGTTTTCTGTAGTAACTGACAGCTGAAGTCAGAGTAATTTGAAGATTCTTAATTTAAAAAATAAGCTTGACAGGTCTGTAAGTGGGAGCTAAAATAGCCACCAAATCATGGGAGTAACAAAACAGTTATATTTACTCTTCAGTAATTTTTTTCTCTAATATTCCTTCTCCTTTCTTATCTGCTATGTTAATTTTTCCTAAACTTTAGAGGAAAATGTATGTCATACAGAATTATAGATAGCTATGCAAAGGGTTTTCAAACATGTTTAAAGAGTAGTATTTTGAATTAATGAGTTTATTTTAGGAATACAGATACCCTCTAAGTATTTTGTAATTGTTACATTATTGGCATAGTTTTAAGATAGCACTGCAACAAATGGTGAAAGTGTAAGGAAGATAAAATTTTGGTCCCAATGAAATTGTGTAAATCCCAGTAAATGAGTCTGGATTGATATTTATATTAGGGCAGTCTCCACAAAAGAATTTAACTAGCCTTGTGGGTTGTGTCTTGATACTCAGCTCTCTATCCCCATACCCCTGTCCATGACAGACATGTAACTAAGATAATATTTCAGTTTGTATTTGATTACAGCATATTGCTTTCTTGTGTTCTCTTGTGAAACTCTAGATAACTAGAGTTGTCTCTCAAAATACAAATATGTATAAAATCTGTTCTGTGTGATTGTGATAAATTTTATAGGAACTTCGTTATGCTGAAGAAGAACTGTATCGGACAAAGAATACTTTGCAAAGCAGAATAAAAGACAGAGAGGAAGAAATTCAGAAGCTCAGAAATCAGGTAAACAATTTTATACCCCTCAGTTATGAAAACAGTGTTAGGAACTACTTATTTGACTAAACTGTCCTGAAAAATCCTGTAAGCATTCTACAAGTGAGGTACAGTGTACTTGTTTTCAATAAAGAGTAGAGTTTTGAGAGTAGGGAATACAAGAAGGGAACCATGTAAATAGCCTATTTTATAGTTGTATGTGCTTTTATATAAAGCAGGGGGAAAAAATCAACCACTGTCCCAACTAGACCTGATGGGGGGTGTTGGATCAATGTTCTTCTCTTTGCAGACTAAAAACACTCATTGGAGTTTAATTAGGTCAGTATGAATTCTGCCAAGATCCTTGTAACTGTTCAGAGAACCTTGGTTACATCCTGCAGACTCTGTGATCCATGTGGCCCACTGTCATATCTTGGCCAGTGGCAGTGGGGCCACCATGTGAGCCTGGCCACTTGCTGCACTCCTGTGTGCAGCTGGATTAGGGTTGTTAGTGTGGGACTCTTTACCAAGTTCTGCTGTGTAGGTGGACCTGTTTCCCTTGTGTCAGTCTAATTCCTTTTGGAACCCCCACATACTTGTGAGCCCCCAGAGTCTCCTTGGGCAGCCTGAAGGCACAGGCCTCATTCAGTTACCTTAGCACAGTGAAGGTAGGCTGTTCATGGGGAAATTGGCAGTCTGCAGTCAGGTGTGGGCAGCTGGGCAGTTACAATGTCAGCATTTGGAAATGGTTGTGATGTCATACAGATTTCTTGGGCATGTTGGCAGATGAATTTTCTGGTGATGCTGAACTTCAGGACTGCCTGCACCTGCCTCTGCCTGGGTGCAGGCACCTAGTTTGTATTTTGGGTATCTGTAATTCCTAATGATTCTGTTTCTTCATTAGTGAAGCTCCATCTTTGTGGAATATGATGCCACAAGGTGGCTGAGGTCCAGGACTGGGGGTGAATAGATGAGCTATTGCACATATGGCAGATGTGGTGATTCCCATTTGCTTGAAATCTTTTCTGCAAATTGAATGACAACATCCATGTCAAACACACGATCCACTTGCTGGCATTGCAGTTTCTATTTGCTAGTACTGTCATGTTTTCTGCCTTGGTGCTCCTCAGTTCTTCTGCAACATACCCTGCATTCTCACCATTTCATTCATGTTTTCCTGTAAAATGGCATCAGGTCTCCCTGTTTGTACTGAGTTTTTCCTTTCATTGTGTGAAAACATTTTTACATGCTCACTAAGTTGAAAGTATGGTAGGCAGGCTGGATTAGCTTGCTATTGATTGCTGTTTAAACCTGTCTCTGAGGCATAGCATCAATGTTGTGATCAAATTTGGGCTCATACAGAAACTTTCATATGATTATAGGTGGAAAAGAGAAAGATAGATACATTTTTATAAAGAGTTTCTTGTGTAATGCAAACAGTTAACAACTGTTGAAATTAGGTTTCCTCCTTATTGCATTCATCAGTGATAGTTTTAATGGCATTATCCTGCAAAAATTCTGCTGTGGAGTAACTTGGTTCTTGAAAGCTTAGGTTGTTATTGAGCTTTGTAATGTGTCAATTGGTCAGTTTGAATTTAGAATGATTTTTTTTCTTTGCTTTTTTAGCTGACAAACAAGACTCTAAGCAGTAGTAGTCAGACAGAATTGGAGAATCGGCTTCACCAGCTGACAGAAACACTAATTCAGAAGCAAACCATGTTAGAGAGCCTGAGCACAGAGAAGAATTCCCTGGTGTACCAGCTGGAACGGCTCGAGCAGCAGCTGAAGGCTGTGCAAGGCACAAGTGCCAATGGACCTTCCATTAACATGGCAGGCATTGATGGTGCTGAAGGTAAGCAAGGAAATACAATACTTAAAACTCTTCTCTTTTCTGCAGTCCAGGCTTATTTTGTTTCCTTTCCCTGAAAGTCTGAGTTTGTAAGGAAAAATAAGTGCTGAAAATAGGCCACTTATTCTAGAGACCTTCTCTGCAGCAGCCAGTATCAAAGTTAACCAGAAGCTCCTTCTTGTGAACAAATGACTTCAGTAAATTTAACAAGGCAGATTTAGTCTTTAATTCTCTATACTATGGCACTGCTGGAGTAATTCTGTCACAAGTGCAAATAAAATTGTATTTTGGGTTTAAACTGAATATTAGAAACAGGATTTAAGTGTTCTCTTGCAGAAAGGGTTTGGGAAGAGAGTAAGAATGGATTACTTCCTGTTGAGAATTGATCCAATTGAAATTAATTTCTTCCCTCCTTGCTTTCTGTTTTTCTTGAAAAGCAGCTTAAAATATGTTGGTTTTGATAAAGTTGGTTTGTCAGTCCAGTATTTCTGGGACAACCCCAGGAGTTGATCCAATGTGTTGAGATGTTACTTTTCAGAGTCAAAATTTGCCATTATGTATGTATGTTAAGTAACTTTAAAAGCAAGGGACAGTCACCAAGAGGTGTGAAATAACAGTCCCGACTTTTTCTCTGCTTATCAAAGCTGGAATTGTTTGTAAGTAACTTCAGAAGCTGAAATTTAGTTACAGAAAAGTAGCATTATCTTTTTTTAATGAAGTTGATACATAGTAAAAATATAAATAAAGTAAAAATTGTTGAACGTACAAGTTACTGTCAGAAATGCTAATCAAAGTTTCATGGTATGAGAGTAAAAAAATTTGAGAAACTGTGCCAGTATCAAGCTCATCATTTTATACACCTAATAATAGTTATTAAGTGTATAAATAATATATATATGTATATAATAATAGTGACATGATGGAATTGAATATCAAGATATCCATTTAGTAAACTGATACATTTTAAAAATATATGAGGCGGAAGAAAAGTTTGATTTGATTGTAAGTTTATCAAGAATTGATGGCACTACAATCATATTGATCAGTGTATATTATTTATAAATATGTTTGTTACAATCTGTCAGTTTGTTTTATTTGACAGCAGTTTGTGTAATTTGTTCCCTGGCGCAGGGGCTCGCCTGCGCAGTGTCCCTGTCCTGTTCGGTGACGCCGACTCCGGCGTGGCGGGAATGTACGGGAGGGTGCGCAAGGCTGCCAGCACCATCGACCAGTTCAGGTGAGGCTGTGCCCAGGGAGCTCACCTGTAATCACTGCCAGCCTTTTGCAGTGTGCAAGGGACACACTTTGGGGTGTACTGTTCCCTTTATGAAGGGAAAAGGTTAAAATAGTGCAGCTCAAGTGTGGTATCAAATACTGAGTATTGACCCACTTCACTTGTGCTTTGACATTAATATTCTTAACCTATGACATTAATATTGTTAAGCTTTTGCAAATTACTGTCAATTATTTAAACAAAGCTCTTACAGATTTTGGTGCAAGGAGTTCCCTGAGTTATGAAAAAATATCTAATCAAATTCATTACATCCATCTTCTGCATTTTTTACTTTCAGAGGTTTTGGCTGTGTCTGTGATAAACTGTAAGAGTGTATTAGTGGGGGAGTATCATCTGTACTCTTTCAGTCCTGATGAAGACAAGATACTGCCTTCTTAGCCAATGCAGCAGATTACCTTGGAAGATAATCTGTTTGAGAAATTAGTAAATGAAAACCATTCTGGATCCAGCAATAAATTTGCTTTGATCCCTTTCTGAGGAGTTAGGTGAATTGACAGTGTTCACAGCAAAGGTCTGCTACAAAACTTGAAACAAATACCAACAGAAAACAAAATTTAGTAGTACTTCTTAGTCCTTTGAAAGCAAGATACCTTGATAGAAAGTCCTTTGTGCTTCCATGACTTTCATTGTGACAGGATTTCTGTGATTGGGAAAAAATTAGGAGGGTTTTATGGTCTGAATTTTCTCACTCCACTCAATGTTTTGAGTACATGAAGTAAAATTCAAGACAACAACAAAGCCTTATGTGTATTTGAGAAAATTCAAGACAGAACCAAAGCCATAATGTTTGAATTTGTGGTGGCTGAGATGAGAGTGACAAGAATTGATTGCTCAGTGTTAAATTGTGTGTTTTGCTTTCTCGTGCTCCCTGTGTAGCATTCGGCTGGGAATCTTTCTGAGGCGATACCCCATAGCAAGAGTCTTTGTCATCATTTACATGGTGAGTCAGCTCTCTTCAGTGCAAGACTTCTAGAGCCACTTTACATGCCAGTATGTCTTAAATGGAAAGACTGATGCTCAAAAGGCTGTAATTAACAACTCAGTGTGAGTTTTTGGAAAGTGGACCAAATAATGCTTTTACAACAGCATTTTGGAGTCGTGTTGCTTGGCAGCTTTCAGTTTTTCCCAGGAATTCTCAGTATATCAGTCTTAAAGGCACTTATGTAACCACCATTTAAAGCCTGTGAAAGTAGATTCTAGTAGTAAAATATGGAATAATAGTGACCAGTTGCCAAGGTTAACCTGCCACACCTGCATGCACTGCATTTAGGAAAATGACATTTTTTTAGAGGTTTTTTAATATTTGACTCCTCATTGTGGTGTTTTTTCGGTGGCTAATGATCACTCTTCTCTAGTAGCTGCACAAGTAGCAAGACAAGTTGTTCTTGGTAGACTTAAACAAATAGTAGAAAATTGCTCACCCCCATGGGGCAAAGCTGTCAGGCTGGCAGTTGCTAGAAGTGAAATCCTCCCTTACCCACTGGAGGGCAGGTGCCTGGCAGCTGCCGGGCCCTGTGGAAAGGCAGGCTTTGTAAAAACTCTGCAGACTTGTGCTGCCTAAGCTGCAGTCTGGAGGGAAACCTGATGGTGGCTGTACAGGAGCTGGGCAGCCAGGGGCAGTTACCCCTTTTCAGCTCAAACCTTGGCCATGACTACTGTAACTTGAATTTTTAAAAAGATTTTTAAAATAAATGTGGGTTAGGTATTCCTTTTTGCACTCCAGGCAGCTTCTATTCTAATTGGATAATTTCAGCCAAATTTGAATGAGAATGAACATTCCTACAGAGTTCATAAAAATGCCTCCAATCAGTGCCTGCACTAAAGAGAAGGCAGTCAGAGCTGGGCTGGCCTACAGTCAGGTGTCAGCCAGTTGGCACAGGAGCAGTGGCTCACCAGTCACCAGGCACATCAGTGTGCTGGCTGGGGACTGGGGGTCACAGGGAACAGCTGAAGTCTCTGTGCCATGGAGGAAAAGAGAAACCAGACAACACAAATCTGTAGGAAAACAGGCTGTCTTATTTTTGCTGCTTGTGTAAAGTCTTCAGATTTCTGTAAATAGATTCTTCAGAATCTGATTTGGCATTTCAGTGTTCAAATGACAATTATTTTTTTAGAAGTATCTGATTAATAGAAAAAATATTTTAATCAAAATATTTCTACAAAACAAGTTCTGTCAGCTCTCACTGAGAGCTCTCCTATTTACTGCTGCTGTGGATGGTGATTTTCAGTGCTAAATTTATTTCTTTTCTTTTCCCAGGCCTTGCTTCACCTCTGGGTTATGATTGTGCTCCTTACCTACACCCCAGAAATGCATCATGACAGTCCCAGTGGCAGGTAGACTGAGACAGGACCAGATGCTGTGGACTGGCAATGCCTTGGAGTTATCAGTCCTGAAACATCAGCCAACTTTCCTCGTGGTGTTTGGGAAGGATGAAAACCATCATGCCTGATTTATCACTACCTTTCAAATACATGTGTAATACTGTGTAGCTTTCTCAATTTACCTAAGAGAGCATCACTTCCCTGGAGAAATGAAGCTGTCAAGCTAAGCTCTGATTAGCCTTTACATTTGATGTCAACCCTCTGATGGTTAGAGTGAAAGATAAGGCCTGTTCTGCAGAGAAATGCAAGGAATTCTGAAATTGCAGATATCTCTGGTACAAATTGTTTTAGGTCGTACTGGATGTAGGCTATGGTCAGGTAGTAAACTGTATTTAGCATTTTAAATAAACTTCGTTCTGGTTTCTTTCAGTCTGCTTTTGCACTTCTGTTTTTAACTTTGTACATAATAGGCTTTTCCTTAACATTAACTGGAAACAGGAAAATGGATTGGTGCAATATATTTTTGTAAATAAGTTTAAGAATAAAATATTATGCATTATTCTTAGCTTTGTACTTCTAGTGCAATAGATGTATCTTTCCTACCAACTGAGTACTGGGGCTGCCTATTGAAAGGCTGGTATTTTAGCTTTATTAGAGAAAGGGAGATGGTTTTTGAGAAGGAAGGTTTAAACTGTTGAGAAGTAATGATGTTTCTTTTTGCACTTGAAATTTGTATATTTTAACTGCATTTTCTTATACCTCTCTCATTAGTACATGTCTTAATCAGATCTTATTGAAACATTTATTTTCTAAAGCTTTGGGTACTTAATTAAAACTATTTCTATATGAAATCTATCAAAACATTAAAATTTTCTCATGTCTGAACACTCGCCAAATATACTAATACACAAACTTCGTCAAATATTTATAGTAAAACCCAAAATACCAAACTGTAGAAGTTCTGTTGTTAGATTGTGGCATTCTGTAATCATGAATTATCAACAGACAATCACACAAGGTCACTTTCTTTCCTTGAGGAATTTCTTGGTTTTTTGTGTGGTGCTCACAGCTGGGTAATGAAAAATGACTGCAAGCAATTTGTCACTCTTGCTCTCAAGGATGTGGCTCAGTTTTTGTGTGGCTTGAACACGGCCTTGGGTCCTGTGCATGAAGTGTCACACTGGCTCCTATGGAAATGCTACAGGGGACAAATGACTGTATGGCTGCTCTGATTCAATCTTGCAGAGAAAACTGAAATGTTTGGATAAACTGAATAATAAAAGTCAGCATTTATTCTAAGTTGTGTCTGCCCTCTTTCACATTTGTTGCACTTTGCATTATTCTGTTACCTGTTTTCAGTTCTGGTCCTAACACCACTTTTGAACCCCAGGGGGAGCTGGTTGGTATGGAAGGAGATCAAGTAGGACCTTTGCACACTAATTTTCTACACACATCTTTTTTTTTCATTTAAACACTTCTAAAACACTGAATCTTAGAATATTTCAGTATACTGTGATATTTGGGGGGGAACATTATTAGTGATATAAATGCCTTAGAGCTTTATATCTAGTCTTACTTCCTTTTCTCTTGGTTTCCCTTTGTGTGTGTGTTTGTGTATTTGGTTGGTTTCTTTGTGGGTTTTTGGTTTTTTTTTTCATTTGGATTTTGGGTTTTTTGGTTGTTGGTTTTTTGGGTGGGTTTTTTTTGTTTGTTTGTTTGCTTTTGTTTTGGGTTTTTTGTGGGTTTTTTGGTTGGGGTTTTTTTTTTTTTTTTAGGCAACTTCAGAATGCAGAGACTCTTTCTTTTTGGTGAAACTTAGCGAAGCTGTTACAAACCCCTTCACCATAGATTAGTATTCTTTTCTTCAGTATTCCAGACTATGGTAGAAGTTTCACAGGGGTAAGCACTGGAAGATTTCTGCTAACTTTTGCCTATTGAACTGAGATCTTGTACTCCAGTATCTGTTTAGGCCTTTGTGTTGTTGGGCCTGTGGTGAGGCTGAGGATAAAGTCCTCGACATGAGGCACTTGAATATCATCAGCCCTGTGTTGTGCTAAACAGTTTCAGAGCTAGGCAAAATCAAACTACTCCACAAAGCTTTTGTTCAAAAACTCTGGAATTTCTGCCCCACAGTTCATTGCCTGCACAGATGCAGTGCAAGAACACGCCAGTGCATGTGTTGGAGTGTCACTGAAGATAAATGTCACATTTTGAGTTGAAAGATAAGGTGTACCTCCTGCTCCAGTCAGTGGTGTGGGTCCCCAATGTCACCTGTGGAGATTTGTGAAGTGAGCCACAGCTGCAAATCAAAGGTGCCATCAGGACACCATTCTGATAAGCAGCTCCTCATGGTGGTGCCTTTCTCCTGGGAGGCTGCCTCCCTGGAAAAATGGCTTTGCAGTGAGCAAGCCTCTGGTAGCCTCTCTCCTAGGAGGTGGGGAGATATTCCAAGTGCCAAGTCTCTTCCTGAGGGACTGTCAAACTGCTGGGCATTTAAACTACTCCCACCTCAGAGACCAGAATATCACTTTCAGGGTTTTGAAAATATTTTGCAAATGCTGGCCCTATATTTCCAAACTCTGTAGCCCAGCACCAGATAGAAATGGTTGTCATGGCTCACAGAAAACAGGAATGTCATTGCCCAGCTGCTGTATCTCACTGCTTGAGAGCACAATGGGCTATATTATGTTTGAAAAGTCTAGTTTTATTTCCTTCTTTCCCTCCTTCCAGGGCAAACTTTTCCAGGTACCAAGCATACAGTTTGAGAGAGTGAAAATGATGAAAAAATGAGGATCAGTGTTTATAGGGAGCCCTGCATTATTTGTTTATATTTGTTTGCCCGCTCCCCATTTGTGCCCAGTTTAAGGGCTGTGGTCAGAAGGACAGAGTGCACCATGCTGCCTTTGGGAAGGAGGTGAGGGGAGCTGTCCCCTCCAGGCTGGCTGCAGACAGACTGAGGGGAGGGCAGGAGCTGCTCAGGTGGAGGAGGCTGCAAAGGGAGGTGGGGATGGAAAGAGAGAGTAAAACTTCCCTTTCCCTGATACTCTGCAGCCTAGAAAGGGCCTGTTTGTTTCAGACTCTTCTCATTTTGGTACATGTTCAATTAGGCAGATGTACTTGGACACAGATTTGGGTTTCTGCAAAAGAGGGCTTTGTGTGCATCCTCACAAGCCTCATGTGACATCAAACTCTTCTCTGCCACCTTGGTTTGCTGATACCTGATCTGTGCTTTATTTGCTGTGCCAGGTCAGCCACATGTACACTAAGATCTTGTGCAAAGGAAGTGACTTTATTGCTTGATTGCAGATAACATTAACAAGGGGGAAATCAGAATTGGACTGTAATTAATCTGCTAATATCTTGTCAATACAGATGAGAGACATATGGCAAAGACCAGAGAGAATGGATTTCTATGCTGGCTGACTGCAGCCTGATTATAAGATTTGACATTAATGTATTGCTAGATATTCAGCTATGAAACTGTAAGAATAATATAAAGAATTCATCAGAATTTCACATGCTTTCATTTGTGTGTTATCTTCCTGCCCTACAGCTTGAGTTTGAAAGCATTGACTTGGAAACAGGCAGACAGATGTCAGCAAACCAGAAATTGTGACAGATGAATAGCAGCTCCCAAAATTATCTGCATTATTCTAACAGGCTTCCATGTGCATGCCGTCACATAAATAATCCTCTTAGGTACACAGTTTCCTTTCAGAAATGCACTCACTAATTTATTCTCTATTTTAGTCCACTTAATATTGGCAAAACTGGATCCCAGCACTGCATTCCATAAATAGTGGGATGATCTTTTGATTTCTCCCTACCTAATGTTGCCTCCTGGCAACAGTGCTTGAATTAAATGCTGTTCATCCAGGAGTTACTGCAACCTGTTTGAAGAAAGTATCTGGTACTCCAGGCAGCTCAAGGAACTGGAGGGATCATGAACCAAAGACTGGATCCAAGGTGTAAGTAAATCAAGATGTGCAAAAAGATTGGGCTGGGGACATTTCTTCAAGTTGGAGGGGAAAACCAAAAATTGCTGATTTATGATTGCAGATGTTTACTAGTAATGTGATTAAAAGTCTGACAGGTCAAATACCATAAAAGAGGCTTCTTGTGAGTGAGTAAAAGATAATAAAAGAGGAGCAATAGCCATTTTTGCCATTACATAGGTTTTTCTAGTCAAGAACCAGGAGCATGGATGAATGTTTAGTCTAGAATTGACCTTTCCTATGCTGAATTTTAGCTTTCATTCAGGGAGGTGTTGGTTGCAGGTTTTCATGTTTGCATGTTCAAATCAGGCAAATTACAAAAAAAGTATTTTGAGTCCACATTCTTTAAGGAGAAACTGAAGGAGGACACAAATAAGCAAAAATCTGAGTTCTGTAGCAGCAGAGGGATGGGCTCCAGATGTTCTGCAAAATGAAGCATGTGTGTTTGGTAAAGGTCTGTGATAAGAAATGGATGTTCTTATCTGCTGAAGTTAGCAAAGCTGAAATTAATCAACTGCAGCAAAATAACTGATAGGATACAGGGAAGATCTGGGCTTAGTGGAATGGGATAGAGTGAATGTTGATTTTTTTCCCCACAAAAGGAGTCTGTTTTGGCATTCATAGTAAAAAGAAACATCAAAGACAGCACTTTCTACACTTTAGTGCTAATACACTTGATGTGTTTTCTCAATAGCTTATAAAAAATATCACCTTAACACTAGTGTCTGCTGCAGCCTGGGATGGATGTAGCCTACATATGAAATTCAAGCAATAATTGTCCTAAATTGCTCTATTTAAAAAATCAAGAAGCTTGTTGAAAGCATTTGTGTTGATATCTTTAGTGACAAGAAAACATGATTCACAATTAGTGTTTAATTTGTAATTAGAAAACACATTCAGCTCTGGAAGAGAGATGGGAATGCCTTTTTTCTGCCAAACAGGTGGTTAGCTGCTCCACAAGATCCCTGCCCATGAATGTCCTATCTCCAGTGCAGCCTCCCAGTTTCCCTCTGCTGCAGCAATGGGGAGGCTGCACAGCAGC